CACACACACACACACACACACACACACACACACACACACACACGTTTAGAAAAAGTATTTATTTCTCATCCATTGAGGGACACAGAAAGCAAACGTTACACTGCCACCTACAGGGGGATTGGACTGGCACAAAAAAACTGTAGGGCAGCCCAAGAAAACACCTTCTACTACCAGCATGCTTAAGTTTTTTGCTAGTTTGTTAGCAGGGTGGATGTTTTCTGCTCAGTTCTGCTAGGAAAAGTTTAACCTATTTTCTTTGCTAGAGTTTTTTTCTTCTTCACTTTTAACTTAAAGATTCTTTCAATGCTTGAGCTGCTTGAGTGTCATGTTTGAACACCACTGGAATAGACATTGGAGGGCTGCCAACACAGTGACCTTTTGGCACTGAATTTTGCGTAAAGTTAGCCGCAGACTACTGTCCATCTCTAGTCATTGTTATTGCCTCAGAGCTTACCTCGTCCCTGAAAATTCACTCTCTAAGTAGGCCAATTGAGCTAAGTACTGAGGCTACTTCATGGTTAAATTGCTGGGTGCCTTTAGATTTCCTGGTTTCTGCTGGTCTTTACCGCAGAACGGGTTAACACTAAGGGACTGAGCGCTGACTCCATCTGCTAGACACACTCCAATTTTCCCAATCGAGGAAGTATTTCCCCGATGCTGCATGGAACCCTGACCCTGGCCCATTGCTACTGCCTGTGACATTGGTCACCTATGGCCATCCGACCCTCACAGGCTACCAGCTGTCTGGATTTTGAGGCCTTTCCTCTTACCTTGAGCTTAGTTGTATCACTACCATGTAGTCAAAACATGTCTGTATGTAGACACAGAGATGGTCCCGCTGCAACAGGGGACCACAGATCACACCCCCAATGGGTCTGGGCATCTTTTTTTTTCTGCGCCTTTTTAAGGCATTGAAGTCTGCAATCTTGAGTCTTGTTATTTTATGGTTAGACGGTCTACCGCCTCATCAGAGTCCTCCGTAGCACCAGTCACGCTTGATTTTGTGGCCAAATTAATCTAGTTTCTCACTGGCTCTGACCACAGGCTCTAAAACTCTCATCGGCATGAAAGTAGGCCCTCCTTTTTCAAGTGGAAGGATCATTTGTTAATCCTTGCGGACTCTCAGGTAGTTTGCCCTTCAGGCATTCAGAGTTTTCTTTCAGGTTTACAGACTGATCTCTTGCTACCAGAGCTTTCGTCTACTCCTGATTCTCTGCCTTCCGTGCTAATCTGCTTATGTACCTGCACAGATTAGCAGACCTACCTCTACTCTCTTGGGGGTCTACTGAACATCCATCGTTTTTCTTCTAGCTCCTGTGCCAGCTCAGTCACGGGAGCTGTATTTCAACCTGGCCATTATTCTCTCCCCAGAGCAATTGTTTGTCTTCTTTGGGACATGTAAGGCTATCAGATGGGCTTTGCATCAATCAGATAACCCACCCTTATCCCTAACCAGAAGGATCTCACTGTCCTACCAGGATTCTGACTTCTCAGTCTCGCCCATCCCATGCACCACAAGTTCTTTCCAGGGTGCTGGCTCCAGTGTTTGCTGTAGTGCTTTTTCATGGCACCCTCATTGTGGCACACTTAGGTGAACTGCTGTGAAGAAAATAGTCACTATAACCCCTAATGTACAATGTCTCCCTGATGGCACCAAATGCTTCTAACGTCATGTGTCAAGAGGTCACCCTCTCCAAGGCACCCTTTTCCCCAGTCTCATGTCAGCCCTTGCCTTTACAGTGGACGAAGTTTCTTAGCAGGCTAAATTGTCTGCCTATAAGGATTTGGTAGTTCCTGGCCTGATTAATAAGTCTTCTAGTTCTGGTGCTGGGATGGACTTATCTCTCTACCTTCTAAAAGACCCTGTCTTCAGAGAACACTCATCTCCTGGGCCACATTCTGAATTTCCAGAACCATTGGCTCTTCCTACATCACAAGATTATTCGCTGGGCAGGTCTGTTGGACCCTGTCAAGGTGCTGACACGCCTTTGCCTTCAAGTAGAAATAGGAGACCATGTGACAATATGGGTAGTTTGGATCCTGACTTGGATTAACCTTTTGTTCTAGCACTGTCTGTTTTGCTTCCTCTTGAGGCCAGTTTTCCCAACTGTTTGCTTCTGGACATGGGAGAGTGGTTCATGCACCAATGAGTGTTCTAGAGTTCATTATAGGAGAGCCCCATGATACCCTTGATTATCTGCATGCTGAGCAAGCTAGTTTCTTGATGCAGGGACCTTCTGACAGTAGCAGGAAATGCTTTAATGACTGCCATCTGGTCACCCAGTTGAACTTGGTTTAGGCCCTTCCTTCTTCATTGTTTCACAGATTTGAATGCAAGGCCCTTCTATCAATCTTCCTTGTTTTGGATTTACCTAGGTATATATTCGCCATCCTGATAAGACTCCTGACCATCACTCAATGGACTCTGATGCATCTTTGAATCTGGGAAGTCAGGAGCATCTTTAGTCCTGTGACTCTTTGAGACTCAAGGATAGACAATAGGGATGAGCTCTAAGTTTGGTCTAAACACAAGTTCAGACTAAACTTTTCTTCTTTGGGTGTTTGTCCGCATGCCGAACATTTATTTACTGTTTACTTTTATTGTGAATGGGCAGGGGTACTGAGCACCCTTTATATATTTACAAGGGGGCAGTGTTTTGGGGAAGAGGCCCTTGCCCTAATCAACAAATTGAAGGCATGTGGCCTGGTATGATTCAAGAGAGGGGGGTGCATACTCATCACCCCTTTCCGGGCCTGCCAGGCTGCATGCATGGATAAGGGCCTGGTATGGAATTTAGGGGGGGCTTCACACATTTTTTTTGTTTGTTGCAAGGATCCACACCAGATCCAAAGGGATTTTTAGCTAGGCAATTTGTGTTTTGGGGGGAAACCCATGCTGTTTTTTGTCATTCGTGCTGTAGGATGTACTGCAGCAAAAGAGACCTTTGCAAAGAAAAAAAAACACAATTTAAACTGTGGCTAAATAAAATTTCCTGACTGGCTTCTTTTTATTTTTTGTTAAAAACCACAAGGAGACCCCTCAGAGGTCCCCACACAATACATAGTACACCATTATTGTGTGTACATTGGGGGGTTCCATGACGTTTTTGACAAAGAAAACCAAGCTGGCAGGGATATGTAATGTATTGTCAATTTAAAGGGCTTTTTGTTCTTTGTAAATGTCAATTTTGTTGTACATTGCATACATCGTACAGATGTGCCACTTCACAGGCAGGTTTAGGTCACTCCCCAGGCATGCTATTTAAAGGAATTGGGCATTTTTTAAATGTTCACTTTAGCATTAATAAAATCACTGCTCCTGGCCAAATTGAATTTTCTTAAAATGTCCCCCAGAGCTATGTCTATGCCGTTTTTTTTACAATCCCTAGTCTAATAGCCAAGAATGTGGCCATTATTGATTTTACAGATTTGGCTCCAATTGATTTAATTGAGGTTCTGGTTCAGTTTCCAAACTTACCTAAAATTCATTAAACTTGCCCTGAACCAAAACCCTAATAGGCAGGTTCATTGCAGCAAGTTCTGTCTAGATCTTGCCCCAGGAGAACATTGTTCATACAGATGGGTAGTAGAAGAGCTTAGTCCTCAGCTCTATCAGATCTGTATTCCTCTTTTCTATTTTGGTAAGAGGATCTACCTTCCCTCTCCTTCACCTCCTTGTATGAGAAACTCCCTATATATAGCACCCTATTTGTTCATGCTGAATTCTAGGGTTCGAATCATACTTCTCTAGGTGGGTTCAGGAACCACCTTTATTTTCCTTGGATATACTTCTGACAAGTCATCTTTAGGGTTCATCCTGGGTGGTCCTGTTCTTGGCAAGGTCGATGCCTTTCTTGGCGGTGTTTCTAGGTATGCAACACCTAGTTCCTTATACCAGCTTACCACCTGGTCTTGACTTTGTTCTCTTAGGTGGGGGTCCTGCCTCAGCCAGTGCCAGCTTTGAGCATTGGTCCTTCAGGCAACACACAGTCCCCAGGTATTTGTTCATCTTGTGCCAGTCAGCGGTTGTTTGTTGTTGCCCTCCCCTAAGTTGTAATGCTCTTGGATATCCCAAAAGTTAATGACTTCCTGTGTCCCTCAATGGACAAGAAAGAAAATAGGATTTATGTATTCACCCTCAAATCTTTTTCTCATTAAGGAACACAGTTTCTACCACTCTGTGATTCTGACATTGCCCTTTGTACTGCTTGTGTCAGGGAATTCCAGCAAGCAGACACATAACAGGTACTGTGAGAGCCACTGCACATGTGCATTTGGGCGTTTTGTATGTGTTCGTGTGCAACAATGCACATGCATTCACATCTAATCATGGTTCCAAAAGGCCTATGTAAACTCGCATTCTGCTTGCACTCAGTGCTGAGAGTTCTTCAGCTAGTGTTGTCCAGCACTGATTCCTGATTGCACCTGTATCTGACCCGGCTTGATCTTCTAACTCTGCTGCTCTCCGCCTGCCCATGACCTTGGCCTGTCCTGCTAATCTACCTATTGTCTGCTGATTTGATACTGCTTCATTCTGCACGGCTTAACGTCAGCTTGTCCTGACCCAGCTTCTGCCTTCCAATTCTGCACTGCGCCACTCACCAGTTACAGCCGGTATCCTACTTGCTTCTGGCTGACTACCTTCCTGGTGTTCTGCTCAGTTGTCTTCAGCATCTCTACCCAGGGGTGGCCGTGCCTCACGCTTTCTCATGCAGTCTGTCCGCCGCTGTCCTACTTTGCAAGGGAAGGTTCTTCTCATCATCTCATTCTCACATCAAGTACATGACAGCTTGCTCCAAACTGGGTCATGCTGGTTGTAGTAGAGGTTATCCTGGGATAGCCTACAGATTTTTTTTGTTTGACAGTGCCCAATCCTCATGTAGGCATTATCATTTGAACGTTAATGACTTCCTGTGTCCCTCAGTAGACTCCAAGAAAATAATTTTATGGTAAATAGAAAAATCATATCAATAAAATGTATTTAAAAAGATTGAAACATCCTCGCAGTAGTTTAATAAATGCAGTAAACTTTTCACGCATTATTTGAGTCCCCCACTTGCCATCAGGCACTAGGCACAGTCCAGCCAATGGCAACAATATATATTGGCAGGAGTGAAAACAGAAAATCTGTCAAAACGGCTGCCACCATCTAAAGCAAAACATTTGATTGACAGATATAAACAAATAGTACATGAGAAACAGATGAGCTATACCTGCAGTGACCTCTCCACAGTCCCAGTTAGCTATACATTGCTTTAAATGCTCAGTCATATGTAAACTAACTGAGTGTCTGCATCTGATCAGCCCGCTTTGTACTACCATTATTACCATACCAATGAATTGTCATATAGCAGGTATCCACATATGAAATATTATGCATGGAACTGGCTGTGAAGGTTCTGAGTTATCCTGCCATGTTATAGCTACTAGTAATTAGTCACATACAGTTACACTTGTGTTGTAATTTGAAGACAATTCAGAAATATACTTCAGCATTTATAGCCACAAGTACACCTCAAATACTTTAATGCATTCATCAGTGTGTCATGTAATGTGTTAAGCCAGACATTAATTATCCAAGAACGCAGCAAGGTGTGAAAATTTGTTAGGACTGAGTGCAGACACTAACAGTCAGAATAAATAGTGGCAAATGACTTCACCTATGGCAGCCACCCTTCTCTTAAGGCAAGTGTACCTACAAGTACTCAGATGCCCCCAGGACTTAAGCTATATACTCTGATTGTATAATGATGTTGCAGGCCGACCCCAGGTACAGAGTAAAGGTACCGACTGGTGATGAAGGACTTGACATGAGTGTTTATAAAAGACAGGCTGAGGTCAGGACTACAGCAAGCAGAGAGCATTCCAGGGACAGGATGAGGTCAGGACTGGCAGCAGACATAGAGAATTCCAGGGACAAGATATTCAGAAACTTAATACAGGCTCATGAAGACAGAGTAATCATATGCAAAGAGGCACAGGCTGCCTGATAACTACACAGGCTGTGTGAAACTTCAGGAGAGGGTTGTTTATTGTTTTTTGACTTACATGTCTAAAAGTTGTTGTGAAATTAAAGGGGGTAAAGATGCTTAAAGTCCAGGGAAAATATGTTAAATTCTATTTTAACACTTTAACCTCAGATGTGCACAACATGGACTCATGCCTATCATTTTGTGCTTGAGTTCAACAGTGAAAGACTGTTGTCCAGTCATTATTCAAATCGAACCTCATATCTCCTTCTTCCCCTGTAGCACATGTCCTATATTTATCTTATTCCTGTAGTAAGAAACAGCTTTTATTACTCCCTGTGACATCATCACCTAACTTTTAAAATTGTTGCAAGGACAGAGCTTGTTTCCCTATACAGACTCTTGAGAGTCAAAGGAGCACAATTGTTTTGCTCGGATAAGACTAATGAATACATGTGGAGTGGGACGCAGAGAGGTGTGGAATAGATGAAGTTCTTTAATCCAGCAGGCAAGGCTGACAACAAAATTTTCGGATGCATCTGAAATTTTTTCGGAATGTCATTCGGAATGAAATCTATGTTGTTTAACTTTAGTTTTTTTTTTTTTAAGAGTTGAGTCCCCTCTCCAATTCATGCCAAACCGTTAAAGGAGAACTATGAGGTGAGTGCTTTTCACTCACCTCATAGTTCTAGCCGACCTGTGACAATGAGACTGTCACAGGTCGACTCAGTAGATCGGGAAGTGAGGGAACACATAACGCCATTCGCTCACTTCTCGATCCTGTCACGGCTCTGAAACATCCTCAAAATTACAGAACAGACCCAGCTAAATGTAACTAACTACTACTAGCTATGCAAAGGACTGCTTTAATATACTTTTAAAACACTTCTGAAAGGAAAAAAATCACTACAGTCTACAAATCCACGGATAATTATTGTAATTAAATAGTTTAATGGTGTCTTAGCTTCAAAATGTCTATTTTGCTAGTGCTGTTGCATTTTCATATTATGATACTGTAATTAAGGCAACTGAAACTCTAAATAACTTAAACCTCTATTTAGCGGCAGTTGCTATTGTTGGATAGGAAAAGTAGATTGAAATAGCAATACAAATAACTCCATTAACTCCAGATGGAACAAGACAATGGGAATTCCCTTTTGGAAATTTTGACTTTGGAAATAATGTTTTCTGTTCCAAATGATTCTTGGAAGTAACAGGTGCTAAAGAGAAAAAACTAAAGCGTTTATGGATGTCTTAACACAGAGAGTATCCGGAAGATGCATTAAATGGAAAAACAAAAAAAGTGTATGTACATGTACTGTATGTGTGTATGTATGTATATATATAATATATATATACATATACACATATACACACACGCGCACACATACATTGTTTACAAGGTAATGGAAAAATGTGTATGACTTAAATCTACAATTGAAGTACTATAAGCCACATACATTACTCTAGGTTACTACTTATCTATGAATGGCAAGGATGTCTCACATCTGTTTGTTGTCAGTGTATACACTGAAAAAAAGTTTTGCTTCAAAATCATAATAGATACATACTTAAAAGAATAAAACACTTATCAATACATATTGAGTAGGAGGAATAGCTAAATAAAATAGAATATTAAAAAAAAATGCATGTAGCTTAATGCCCGCTTTTGTTTTGGATAAAGCAGGCAAATCATGGTTAGAACCTCTGCCAGGTTTTTATTACCATAGATGTTCTTGTTGAGGAGACTTTGCTTTACTTCCTGTCAGGAAATTAAGTGATGGGCAATCTTCCCAATGGAAGCATAGACAAAATCCCATTTTTAGTAAAGTGTTAGAGCTTTTGACAATATTTCTGTTGCTGTCAATGCCTTTCTGTCACGTGAAGCATGATTACCCCCCCCCCTTAATTTTTCTGTATGGGTGTTAAAGGTATGGGAAAACCCATTGAATTCAGGAAAATCTCCCCAATGGGGTAAGAGACATAAACTGAAACTTGGCATAAATGTAAACTCTATCCAAATCTAAGAATCAATTTGGAGTGCAATTGTTGCATTACATACATTACAGTGGATTTTCAGTTTAGCTGTTCTAACTAAGTAGGACCAATATCAGGCTTATTGAATGAAAATGTACAAGGCGTACAGCCCTCAATGCAAAATAGAGTATGCAAACCAGAGTCATTCTTGTGCTGGCCTGACTTTAAGTGAGTTCTGATTGGTTGCTGTGATTTACTGTACTTTACTGCTTACAGAGTTCATGGAATAGGCTCCATGATAAAACTGTAGGTTTTACTAGGACTGTGGCCTGCAAATCTAGATTTCACATACATTGCCCCCTGTTGTTAAAACACTGAAAAAAACTATTGGTAGAACCAGTGTATCTGGATGGTCAGACAGCTGTTTTAATAGAAATATTGTTTTCCCATTTTCGTTTTTTTATTCTAGCTGAGTGTTATATGTAATTCCATCTATCTTAATATGGAATTGTACTCAGTATCTTTAGAAGACATAAACACATGCTGGACTAATAATGTGCAGTAGATTGTTGTTTATTTATGACTTTAAACTCATTGTTTATTACTACGCAGGGAATACCTGGACCAGAAGGCTTACCTGGAATACCAGGAATACTTGGACAAAAGGTAATGAAACTTTATGCCTCTCTCTGCTGACAGATTAAATATTTAGTATGATATGACATTTCAGTATGCATTAGACAGTTAATATAGACTAAAATAATCAGATTTCTTTATAGGGAAGTAAAGGTGATTCTGGAATACAAGGCAAGTCAGGATTAGCAGGAGCAAAAGTAAGTTGCAAATCATTGCATGAAAGAGTGTCCTTATTTGCCATTATATAATTTATATTTGTGTACCTCATAGATAGCAGCAATTTTAGATAGTCATATAACATTCTAAGGGATGAAAATCCCTAAGGCTCTGACAAATAATACATTACCATTTAAAGTGAGTCTGTGAGGATAAAATATGGAGGTTCCCAATGCTGATCTCTTCTTCTAAAATACTAGGAGGGTTATTCACAAAGCTGCCAAAGGATCTAGCCGTAGCTTTAGCTTCAGCCCCAGGACCCCTTCGGTTCAGTAGAACCGAAGGGCTGCTGTATAGGCTCTTTACTATAGACCGTACAGCTCCCAAAGTTGGCAGAGCGACTCAGTTGAGCCGAAGGCATATGCTTTGGCTCGACTGAGTTTAACACACAGCCGAAGTGGGAGGAAGCCTAGCTATTCATTCCTATGCTATTTGTTGTTTTCTTATGTCTTTATTGTGACGGCAGCCTGCGGCAGCTGTCAAAGTGATAGAAAAAAACCATAGCAGTGGAATCAGCAGATAACAGGGAGCTAATGCTAATGCTGTTATCTGATGTCACAGTGACTCCACCGTGTCACTCAATGTGTAATGACAGTTAGGCGTCCCCTGGTTACCAGGGTATGCTGAACTGTCATTACCAGGGACATACGGTCAGGGGAGGCAACCCACCCTTTACACTAGCTTGGGGATGGGTTGGGGGTGGGGCTTAGTCCGGTGGGGGTGGATATTTGACCGACAAGGGGTGGAGCTTCTGTCAACGGGGCGGGGCTGGGGAATGCCTCACCCATAGAAAAAGGTACCGCATGTCACTGGTCATTACAATGAGAGCTTAGCTGAGCCGGCTTTGATATCACCGCCGGCTCCACCAAGCTCTCATTGTAATGACAGCTGGTCCCGGGCCAATAGAAAATAGTTGGGCGAAGCTAGCTCCGCCCAATTGTTTTCTATTTAAAAAAAATACCTTTTTTAACTGTTTTTCTGTTCGGTACCATGGAGGTACCGAGCAGAATAGCCGATCTTGGCGGCATTCAGCTATTCACTCACTGCTGTTCGGCACCTATGAGAATAGGCCGAACAGCAGCGAGTAGCCTGCCAGAGGTTCGGCTCAGCCAATCTAGATGTTGGATCGGCTGAGTCGAACTCCTTCTGCACTTTGGGTCGGCCGAACAGCCCGAAGCCAGCTGAAGCAAGCCGATGGATGACTGATTTCAGCTGATGTATGGCTGAAATCAGCTGTATAAGCCTGAAGTGAATAGCCGAACAGTGTTCAGCTCACTTCACTTCAGGTCGGTTATTCACATGGCTGCCTTCAACAGCTTTGTGAATAACCCTCTAGGTCAAGAATGTCCAAACTCTGGGCCTCCAGCTGTGGCGAAACTACAAATCCCATGATGCATCTCTCTACAGGAGTCATGCCTGCAGCTGTGAGAATCCTGAAATGCCTCATGTGATTTGTAGTTCCACCACAGCTGGAGGGCCGGAGTTTGGACACCCCTGCTCTACGTGATTAGCTTACATGCTTAATTATTGGTGTGGATTTATTAAGGGAGTAGAAACTGTTCACTCAGCAACATAAATTTTCACTTTGAAAATAGGATTTTCGGTTAGCTTAGTAAATGATGTGAAGTTGTGTGGGGCATTGTCTACCTTCTGACTTTAGTGGATACATGCTTGTTCGAAGTCCGTGATTGAAATAAATTTGAATTAGGAATCGGAAAGGCCCTCAAATGTTTCAGATTGTAGCAATGGCAGCCTCCATATTTTTCTCAGTACCATTTTTTCTTTAATTATAGAGATAGTATTAATTTAAAAAATATATATTATGTAATGGAAGAAAAATGTTGGTTTAGATAATACCCTCTGGTACATGTCAAATCTTTTGTCTTCATAAAGCTTTACTAAATGCAATAAGTGGGTTAAATAAAACCAAAAAGCCCTCCACTGAAGAAGTGTAGCACAGTGCAGCCTTCATAGAACAGGAGGTATTCACGTGTCATACTTCATGTGGTCTCATCCCATCATGTATCCCAAAAATAAGGGGATTGCTTCTCATTTTAGGATAGTGGGTAGAGTCTTGCAAATTACTCGTTTGTGCCCCATGGCCAGCTATGCATCTAGAACCATCGGTGTTAACACAGAAACAACCTTATACTACAGAGCCATTTATTCCAAATGCATATAACTGTTTCAGGCTTGTTGAGCATCACATAATGGATTGATGGGTGATCAAGTACAATATCCCTTACCTAGAAACATTATTAAAAAATTGGACTTTTTAGGTGCCAAAACAATGATAGAATATATCACATTATGCTGCCCCTCCTTGTGAATTAGTAAGGGGTACTTTGAGTAAGGGGGTACCCCTACTTATTCACTAAAAGGTTAAGTTAAAACATAAATAAACACACCAGACTTGTAGAAAAATACTTTAATTGAACAAAAGACAAAGCTCAAAGGTCAGGTCCTTTGAGGACAGTGGCTTGTTATTGAATGACAATAAATTGGCTGAGACAGCCACGACATCACGGCTGACTCTGCCCATTTGTTGTCATTCGGTCAGCATCTGTCAAAATTTCATTTTGTGGTGGTAGTTCGTCGCGTGCTGGTGGGTCGGCGGTCGTTTAAAAAAAAATATTTTGAAGAGTTGGCAACGCCATGGACAACATAATTGACCTTGGATTACCTAGTTGGATAATTTCTTAAATCGTTTTGGGGATTTTTTTAAATTAAAGGAATAGTCAAAAACTTTGGTTGTGTTTTTTGTTCAATTAAAGTATTTTTCTTCAAGTCTGGTGTGTTTATTTACAATTTAATTTAACTCTTTAGTGAATGAGTAGGGGTACTTGTACCCCTTACTTATTCACAAGGGGGCAGCACCGGGTGCCCTCTTTATGAAAATAAGCCCCCTGCCCACAGACCCCCACAACCACCAGGTCTGGGTTGTGGGGAAGAAGCCCTTGTTCCCATCAGCATTGGATAATTTTCTTTTGTTTACAATTTTTTTTAAATTTCACTCTCTACCTCTGAGGCTCCCTTCACTTCAGGCTGGTCATTCACTTGGCTGCCTGCGGCAGCTCAGTGAATAACCCCCTTAATGTAAGGAAGCACTCTAATAGGGACACCTAATCTAAGGGTGCTCTCTGATAGGGAGATCTGATATGAGGGGCACTCTGATGGATGTTGTACTTTTTTTCAGTGAAGCCAGCCACGATGTAGTACAACCACATCACACTGTGCTTTGCCTATAGAACTTAATGAAATGTCATTTGTGCAGGAAGGCTGTAATGAGTGGACCTGCCCAGAGTTCAACTTTAACTTTAGTGGCGATTTAGAAAAACTGGGGTCCTTGACAAAAAAACGTGTTTCCCAGGTGTGGTACAAAGTCGTTGAGTAATTTTTTTTAATATAAATTGTACTATTCTAACAGATATTTCTACAAGTGAAATCAGTCAGGCAACAATTAATGCTATGCTGGCAACATTGCAGCTCTGCTAAATTTGGAATATTAATGTATTTTTCTGATTCTGATCTTAGTGTAATCCACTGCAGCCAGATTTCACACAGCTGTGTGGTGGTTGGATTTCTAAACTCATACTATGTAACTTACTCTGTGTCTCTACTTAATGTAGCACCAATCAGGTTAATAATTTAAAGGCAGATTTGAATTGTATTGGAGGCTGTGATGAAGTCACTTCATGGAAGTACTGACACTAAATAAATTAGTCTTTTTGTAAGGAATAACAAGGAATGAGCAGTACGTGTGTTTAGGAATACCTCTCGCACATTACAGCACAGGTAAGCAAAAAGGGCTCTTGGATAATCAGAATAATGAGAAAAGGGCACCGAGGTTGACTGGTAGATAGTTGTACTCCACTGTGTTATGTGCTGCAAGCATTTAATTGAAGGAGGTCTGAAGCTGTATTAGAAGCAGGAAAACCATGTTTATGATGCCAAGTTTTCAAAGCTGGTCAGGATCACATTGGCCAGAGATGTCATGTCAGATAAGTTGGGTATGTTTTACCAATTAACTTGATAAATAACTGCATCTTCTCTGTTCTGATATACATTTTCTCTGCTAGGGAGAGAAGGGAGAGTTTGGTCTTATGGGCCCACAAGGATACACAGGTATACCAGGACTTACAGGTGCAAAGGTAAACATCTGAATACATGTTTTTAATTGTTCCCAGTTAGAGAACCTTTCACACAGGGTGATCTGGAATTCCCGTAGCTAGAACATATGGATTCCTGTGGCAGGAATGCTAAGTGTCCCCATTCAGATGCAGCCACTGAACTCATGGAGGTAAATGATAGGGAGACAGTGGCTGCATCCACCAGCAACAGTCCACATGTAATTGTACGTTGTATAATTACTTGCAGTTTGGAATAGATGATTGTCCCTGGATGCATCTATTCTGTGTCCACCAACAATCATCTATTCCAAAAGCTTGTTATCTTACCATATACGATTACATGTGGAGTGTTGCTGAAAGATGCAGCCACTGTTACCATGTCATTTACTTGAATGGGTACAGTGGCTGCATCTGAATGGGGACACCTGGCATTCCTGCTGCAAATATCTGTAGGTTCTTGCCACAGGAATCCCAGAATGCCCTGTGTGAAAAGGGCCTTAGTGTCAACATTATTTAATACATTAGGACTTTGTAATGTTAGTGATGACAATTTAATTAATTATTTCATCTTTGTTTTTGATATGTGGTATCAGTAAGACACAAAAAATACAGTTTTACACTGAACATAAAATGTCATCTGAAACCATACATGTAAATCAGATTTGTTGATTCAAATTCCCTGCTATATCCTTTAAAAGCTTTTGTAACATTAGACATCCTGCAGGTCTCTAGGTATGTTTCATAGATGTAATGAGCCCAGGTATTACTGTCAAACTACACTACTCTAACAAAATGGTGATCTGTAGCAGTCTCTATTTTGTAATTTACCACTTATTAGTTCAAGTTTAAGGAAGCAAACTTGGCTTAAAATGAACATGTAATCATAGTAATATGTGATTGGCCATTGCTGACTTGTTTTTAAAAGGGGCATGCTTTGGGGTTGCCATTTTTAACAAGTAAGCTTCTGATCTTTAACAAGTATGCAGCCAGTAAAGTCAGAAAAGCCTGAACTGCACACTAGTTCCAGGTCATCGACTCGACTATTTCTGACAGTGCTAGCTGCCTGTCTGTCATGGTGCTTTGTCTTCAATACTTTTTAAATTACCTACCCACAAAACACAGCAATAAGGAATTATTACTTTTCTCTCTCCTTTTTTTCATATTTTGCTTGTTCTGGGTCAGTTACTAATTTCGGTATTAAATCCAGAAACAGCCAGACAACTAGAATGTTTGAAGCATGTGCAGGCATACTTCTCTTAGGACAGCTTTAATTTAAAGGGGGTTTGACACCATGATGCTTAGTTGATTGAGAATTACTAGATTTCTTATAGAAACTCTGTCACTAAAGAAAATGAAAAGTTAACGAAATACAGCCTGTAAAATAACACTAATGTGAATACTAAACTCTGAAGTTAAAACTTAAAAATGCAATCATGTACCCTAACAATTAACAAAAACCTATTTTTTTTAAATCAGTAAACGTGGAAAAGCATGCTAGGTTATGTATATACCGCTGTGACAATCAGCAGCAAATAATCAGTGAATCCACCAACTTAATTTTATAATGCAATTTTGTTGCGCTGTGCCTATACCTTTATATGTGCAAATCCATCTTTAAATAAATGTGTTAAATAAATAAATAATAAATAATTATTTAACTATTTAAATAACTATTTACTTCCCATTGATATTTATATCTTAGTGTATCCCGTGTATTTCAAACCACCTTCAAGTTGCTAAATTCTGATCATAAATGCAACAAATACAAAAACAATCCTATGCTCCATATCTATCCACAATGGACAACTGTATTGCATTAATTGCCCATCAAAGTAGTCCCATAAATAAATTAAATAAACTGAATATATGAATGAATATAATTTAACAAGGATTGTGATTAGTCCCTTGTAACTTTGTTCAAAAGAAAATGTATACGTTTAATCAGTTCTTAGCTTTTGAAAGAGACCACTTATTCCCACTTGATAAAATTGTTTCCTCTTGATTAAATGGTGCTCAATGGGTCAATTATCCATGCTCCTTATTAGTTCTATAATGCATTCACTAGACATATCTTATAATGTGCATTCTCAATCACAAAAGAGATCCTTTTCATGCGTATCCAAAGTATCGGCTCATCTCCTCCTCCGTCTTGCTCTCCGGTAATCTCAGTGTTAAACACTCCGATCTCCTCTCCGTCTGATATTCCACCTACGTGCTGTAATTTTCCATGGAACTCAAGGGGAAAGGAAAGAAGGCTTCTATTGTACATTATTTGGTGAAAAATATATTTATTCCGATAAAAAAATGACACTTAAAAAACGATAGATCAAATAGAGCAGAAAGAATCCTCATGGTGCCTCAGATACAGGGAACAGATGTAGACTCCTCCCTCAGGGATTCTTTCTGGTCTTTTTGATCTATTAGTGTGCAAGTGTAATTTTTCTATCGGAATAAATATATTTTTTACCAAATACTGCACAATGGAAGCCTTCTTTCCTTTCCCTTTGAGTTCCGTGGAAAAATAGAGAAAGTAGGTGGAATATCAGAAGGAGTGGAGATTGGAGTGTTTAACACTGAGATTACCGGAGAGCAGCACAGAGGAGGAGAGGAGCCAATACTTTGGATACGCATGAAAAGGATCTCTTTTGTGATTGAGAATGCACATTATAAGATACGTCTGGTGAGTTCATTATAGAACTAATAAGGAGCACGGATTACTGACCCATTGAACACCATTTAATCAAGAGGAAACTATTTCATCAAGTGGGAATAAGTTGTCTCTTTCCAAGGCTGAGAACCGTTTAAACGGATACATTTTCTTTTGAAAAAAGTTACAAGGGGCTAATCACACTCATTGTTAAATTACATTCATACATATATTCAGTTTATTTAATGTATTTATAGGACTACTTTGATGGGCAAAAAATGCAATACAGGTGTCCATTGTGGATAGATAAGGAGCATAGGACTGTTTTTGTATTTGTTGCATTTATTATCAGAATTTAGCATCTTGAAGGTGGTTTGAAATAATACACGGGATACACTAAGATATACATATCAATTTGAAGTAATTAATACACATATTTATTTAAAGATGGATTTGCACATATAAAGGAATAGGCACAGCACAACAAAATTGCATTATAAAAATGTAGTTTTATTTGGCTTTAGATCCTCAAATTATCTCTGAATTGGTGCTGACACTGTCCTTCCTTCTGGAGGGTGGCTACTTTTGTTCCCCATGGTCCCTGTGTGTGTTGTAAAGTAGCCACCACTCCTGAGATGAACTACACTCTCAATACAAATTAGTAAACTAAACATGAGATTTTAGTCCATTGTGGGAGTGAGCTTGGAGCAGTGACTACTTTACAACACACATAGGGACCATGGGGAACAAAAGTAGCCACCCTCCAGAAGAAAGGACAGTGTCAGCACCACATCAGAGAAGGATCTACAGGCAAGTGATACAGAAATAAGGTACAGTTTTATTAATAGTAAAAGTACTTGAATGTATTTTTAAGATTCAACTCCTGAGTTTAGTGTCACGTTGATAATACCAGTCCTGCCCCTGGTGACTCCATTCTTTACAGTCTTGTTGAAATACATTCACTGCTGGAATTTTCAGCTGTGCTCTGTGGTTTCACACACTAGAGCAGCAGGAACACACTAATGGCACAGCGTTTGGAGGTTGATAACACAGCCCTCAGCAGGGAGATGCAAGTATTCACACACACCTGGAAGTGTCCGATGATGGAGATTCCAGCATCAGGTGAAGCTCTGAAAAACAGCAAAGATTGGAGACACTGGCGATGGGTATGCTTCTGGGCAGTGGGACACCTGCTCAGTTTCAGTGACTGTCCCAGTACTATTAAACATCCTGGAAGGAAGAGAGAAACACAGAAATCTTAATTTTTCTCAGGTACATAATTATGTTGTAAATAGACTGCCTATATATGATGTTTTTCCTTTATTTGTTTCAGGGTGACAAAGGAAACCAAGGTGAAAGAGGGAGCCAGGTGCATCTTTATTAACATTTTGTTAGTAGTAATGATTCTAATATTTATACACAATTGAGACTAGTATTTGTGGATATATATGTACAGTATGGATAAAAACTTTTATAATAGGTATATCTGTAAAGCTAATCCAATTTGTTATCAAAATTTGTCAATTTAATAAGTATGATGACAGGGAAGAAATAATGATATTGTTACACAGGAAGATCTT